TTTCCTAATCCTTACTATTGTCATTTTTCCTCTACTTCTTTTGTATGTTTGTCACTCTCTTGTAACCTGCTATTTCCTGGGTGCCTTGTGATAATCGAAGCAGACCTTGCGCTGTTGAAGCTAGAAAGGTGAGCAGAATAAGTCTGATTCCCTGTAAAGACTTCTCTGTTGACACCCACCCCTTAGCGCTCATATGACCTTATGCAGTTGCAAGCGCAGAAAAACCTCTACTCAAACTACACTAAAACAAACTTACTTTTTTCTCATCACCGTTATTTCGTCGACGCGCTTGTCTTTACTCACGCTGAGACTCGAACTCCTCCCCTACAGGAGCACTACCTGCCTTACATGGTGCGCAGTAAGCTGAAGCTGGTCTTGGCGGGAGAAGGGAACCAGCAGCCTCTGCTCACCTTCATGGACAGAGCCCTCTCAGACGAGGGGAAGAAGCAGTACATACAGGTAGTGAATGTATACCTTCAGGTAGTGAATGTATACATGCGGGTAGGAAATGTATACATGCAGGTAGTAAATTTGTATGTACATACAGGTAGCGAATGGTAGAAAATGTATATATACTTACAGGTAGTGAAAGGTAGTGAATGTATACCTACAGGTAGTGAATGTATACCTACAGGTAGTGAATGTATACATACAGGTAGTGAATGTATATGTACAGGTAGGAATGTATACCTACAGGTAGTGAATGTATACCTACGGGTAGTGAATGTATACCTACAGGTAATGAATGTATACATGCAAGTAGTGAATGTATACATGCAGGTAGAAAATGTATACGTACAGGTAGAAAATGTGTATGTACATACAGGTGGTGAATGTTAGAAAATGTATATATACTTACAGGTAGTGAATGTATAGTTACAGGTAGTGAATGGTAGAAAATGTATGCCTACAGGTAGAAAATGTATATGTACAGGTAGAAAATGTATACCTACAGGTAGTGAATTTATACATGCAGGTAGTGAATGTATACTTACAGGTAGCGAATGGTAGAAAATGTATTTGTACAGGTAAAAAATGTATACGTACAATTAAAAAATGTATACCTACAGGTAGTGAATGTATACATACAAATAGAAAATGTATATTAATACTCTGCCACATGCTGACAAAACACCTTTTTTCATTTTTGGCATCAACTTTTTAAATTTGCTAAATCAATATCTTATCTTTTCTTGTCTATCTTTTCTGTCTTATCTTATCTCAACGGTCTTGTCTTGTCTAAACTTCACCTATATATAATCTTTTCTGACCTGTCTTGTTTTATCTCAACTGTCTTGTCTTGTGTTGTCTTGTCTAATCTTCCCCTATATATAATCTTATCTTATCTGTCTGTCTTGTCTTGTCTCATCTGTCTTGTCTTATCTTGTCTAATCTTTCCCTATCTTGTCTTCTTTAATCTGCTCTTTTCTAATCTTATCCTGTCGTATCTTATCTTTTCTTATCATATCTTGTATTTCATCGTATCTGTGTTGTCATGTCTTTTCTTATCTTGTTGTATCTTATTTTGATCGTGTCTTAAAAAAAAAAAATCATATCTTGTATCTTATCTTTCAATAAATCATATATTGTATCTCATCTCATCTCATCTTATCATATCTCATCTCATCTCATCTCATCTAATCTCATCTTATCTCATCTTATCTCATCTCATCCTATCTCATCTCATCTCATCTTTTTTCATCCCATCTCATCTCATCGCATCTTATCTCATCACATCTCATCCTATCTCATCTCATCTCATCCTATTTCATCTCATCTCATCCTATCTCATCTCATCTCATCTCACCGTATCTCTACAATCGTTACAGAGCCGCTACTGCGAGGAGCTGGCCCTCCTGTACCTGTGGCAGGAAGACTTTGACCGAGCGCGCCACTTCACTTCCCTGGCCTTCCAGAGATTCTTGCAAGTACGGCTCTCGTGTCCATTTGGCTGGACAGACGCCGTCCTTCACCTTCTTTTTAGTATTATGCGTTGGCAGTATGGCGGAATCTATCTTCACAAGCACTGATAGCTTTTTTTAAAAGTAAAAAGTTGATTAAAGGCACTGAAAAATGTTAATTTCAGTTTCTAATGACACTCAAGCTTCTTTTTTCTTTCGCTCTCTCTCTCTCTTTCTCTCTCTCTCTCTCTCTCTCTCTCTCTCTCCCTCTCCCCTCCCACCCCCCACAGCCTCCTTCCCCCAATCTCTCTAGTTTCTCCAACATTATATTGTCTCCTCCCCCCCCCCCCCCCAGGATTGGAGCAGCACCACCTCACTAATGGTCTCTGGACAGACAGACATCCTGCGCAGACTTCAGGGCCTGGTGGAGCTACAGGAGTTCCTCGACTTGGTGGGCATAGACGGTGAGCTTTATTCCTTGAGGCCTCTCTTTATTTACCATTTATTCCTGGAGGGCCTTCCATTTATTTCTGTCAGCACCTGTTATATACCATTTATTTCTGGGGACCTGTCTTTATTTACTATTTATTACTGGAGGTATCTCTCTCTTTATTTACTATTTATTCCTTGTGGCCGCTCTTTATTTACTATTTCTTCCTGGAGGTATCTCTCTCTTTATTTACTATTTATTCCTGGAGGTATCTCTCTTTTTATTTACTATTTATTCCTGGAGGTATCTCTCTCTTTATTTACTATTTATTCCTGGAGGTATCTCTCTCTTTATTTACTATTTATTCCTGGAGGTATCTCTCTTTATTTACTATTTATTCCTGGAGGTATCTCTCTCTTTATTTACTATTTATTCCTGGAGGTATCTCTCTTTATTTACTATTTATTCCTGGAGGTATCTCTCTTTATTTACTATTTATTCCTGGAGGTACTGTAAAACGCTTACTTAACTCTTTGACTACCAATGCGTTTTCCGCGCTGTGACCAAGGCATTTCTTAGTCTTAGAATTTCAGAAGTACCCCTGTTCTTCTTTTGTGTCTGATGGGCATAATTCCATCGGGAAGTCAGACATGTTAAATACCAAAATGAAGGTAATTGAATGTAGAATATTTTTAATCTAATAAAAAAATTGAAAAAAATCATAAATCCAAACAAACATGGGAGGTAAGTGAACACAAGGTGAAAAAAATATTAAAAATACACAAAATATTTCCAACTTACATTTCTCACAGTGTATAGCTGCTAAATCCAATCACTTCATAACTTAGTCATACTGAAGTATATCCAATTGTCTCTAACTGGGCCAAGTTTCATGCACAATGGTCAAGTATATACAAAGTTGTTGCACTTTTGATGAAATCACTCACAATGAAAAAAAGAGAAAAAAACGCTGCACACATGCCCCTCTTTGCGAATCTTCAATCTCATCGCTGTCGCTGCTGTCCGACTCAGGTCTAACTTCATCACCTCCTACATCACTATCGGAAAGTACTGACAGTTCCCCATCAAACTTTTCCTGGGCTTTTGAAGCAGAAAAAAGTTGTGACGGGGGGAACCTGATGGGTTATCAGCCATTTTTCCGTTGCTATGCGTGTAAATTAATTCGAGCAACATAGGGCGGGTAAAAAAAACAAGAAAAAATGCCAAAAAAACAGCAGAATAAAACACAAAAGGCGCTAAATTACTTCACTGGTTGACTGATGTATGGTAAGCACAGTAGTTAAAAACATGAAACGAAAAGGTTGAGTCAAATTGTGGAAGGGAAAGGGAAAGAAAAGCGCGAGCCGATAATTCGGCTTTTGGCCACGAACTAGGAGGTTATGGAGCCGATAGATCGGCCCATGGTAGTCAAAGAGTTAAAAAAAAACAACCCTAAATAACCCCAGGTGTTGTTTACTCATATAGTGACTGCAACATAACACGTGCGACTTACTCACTCGAAAGTTTATTCTGAAATGCCGTGATTGACACATCTTGATGGTCACATGATACACACAGATATAAAGGACATAAATCGCATAATACAACGATCACAACCACACACAATCTGGATCGCTAACAACAACAACCACACACAGTTGCTCTCTCTTAACTCTTTATCTCCGGCAAGCCGCTCCCAGCGGCTCGCGGTTGGTACCACTGTGCGGGTGAGCGGCTCGGGCGCATTACTTTACGACGACTTCGACATCAAATTACTTTTCGACAATTGCCGAAAACAAGTCTCTTTTATCTGGAGTTCATTCATTAGATGAAGAACTATCAAAATAGGTTCTCTTGTTTTGATTTAATGACCAATTTAGTGATGTTTTCGTCATTTTTAGATTTAGAAAAAAAACCAAAAAACAGCCTTGACGTAGTGGGTTTACCCCCCACGGAGATGAAAAATTAACAATGCATCACAACTCACGAGGAACTTTTCCTTTCCTGCAGGTGGTGGGGGAGTCTCTCCGAGCGGTGTGAGGGTGCTGGTGGACAAGTGGCAGCACCGCTGGCCCCACAGCCTCCTGGACCCTGCGACCATCTGGGACGACGTCATTGTCAACAGGTTTTGTTGGGTCTATTCAGTCTGTTTGTTGGCGGTGTATGGAGCGTGCTGCTATTATTTGGTTGCTTTTAAGCACAAGGGGGCTATCCCGAAAAATGCTGTTTTGAAAAAATCGAAGGTAAAGTTTTTACCCCTTGTTCATTTTCTTTAAGAGACAAGGAGAGTTTTCTCGGTAACCAAACAAATATACACACCTATGAAACCGAACTTCTCCTAAAGGTAGGGCGATACCCACTTTTGGTGTAGGTCAAGATTTCTGGAAACATCCGAAATCTGGGTTAGCCCGCTTGTCCTTAAAAGCGACCATTTGTGTGTGTGTGCCAGGAGAAAGACAGTCTGTTTGTTGGCTATTAGTTTTAGTAAGTGTTTTACGGCACTTGCAACACAACAAGGTCGTATAAGTGCCGAAGAATAGATTATGTGTTACAAGAGAGTAACATACAAAAAAAAAAAAGGAGGACAGATAAGGACAACAGATTTTTAAAAGGAAAGAAGGAGCAAACCACCCGAGAGCACTGGCCAACCACCTACGTCTGTTGGCTATTTAATAATAATAATAATAATAATAATAATAATATTAATAATAATAGCTCGTCCGTCAAAGTCTAACGATGACCAATACATCTGCCGAAGAGTATATTTCTCCAACGAAATAAAAGAATTTGAAGTGCTCAAGGTCAAGATGACTTGGGACTTCTAGCGTGGCCGATGAGATCAATTTTGGCGGAGATAAGTTTGCCATATTTCGAACATTTAAAGGCTCCAGTTCCACTTGTTCAATGTGCACAAAGGTTTATTTAAAGTGAGAAAGCGCAGCGCAAACATCAGGCTCACTCTCTCGCCTAGGTACAATATATCTGATGGCAAGATACAAGGCTGTGTATGGAGCATGTTATCATTTTAAAATAAATTCAAGGGGCTTCAATGGAAGTGACTCTTAATCCACCGATGACCCACTTTTCCATGTGGCCAGCGTTCTCCGTGGGGCGCAGGGTCAGTCTGTGGTCAGCACGTGTGCCGCATGAGGTCAGGGAGACGTGCATGTTTTTCGCTGTAATTACCATGAGGGTGTGTTGAATCCACAATGAAAATCATGCCCCATTTTTTATAGCACACTAAAGCTATCTATGACTGGGTGTTGCGAACACATGAATACCCCCCCCCCCTCATGTTGATTAGTCATTATGAGTGTTATTGCCCATTTGAATAACTCTTCTAGATGCTGTTGATATAATGAATGATCTATCGTTCAAAAGGAAAAAAAAAAATTAGGTCAATTTTCGAATGTTTTGATCTCAAATTTTTTCCTTCTTATAGCACAATGATTTTCAAAACCCTCAAGTAGAATTATTTTATCAGGAAATAACATTTTACGTAAAACCTTGTCGAAAAAGATGTTTGTATGGAATCCCACATCATCCTGGTGTTTCCTCTTCGCCTACCTGTTTCATCATCAACATCCGGTGCCTTGCCGACTGGCGTGGGCGATCATGGACCTCCACTTCACTCTGTCTTGCGTTGCAGCAATGGTGTCTGTTGTTCTTGCT